GCAGTCTACAAAGAGTTAAGCAGTCTACAAAGAGTTAAGCAGTCTACCAGCAGTGTTGTCGAACTGAGCTGACTGAACTCCTGTGTTCAGTAAATCCTCTCAGGTCTGAATCACAGGTTTCACTTGCTGCTTCGCTGCTTCGCTGCTTCAGCATTTTGATTTGAATTAGTTTCACTGACAACAGTAACGTGGTTCACCTGAGGTTGTAATCAACCTAAAAAGAACTCACTTCTGTTTTTATCATGTTTCGTAAACATCAAATTAAAAGTAGGGATGTTTATTTTTGACTATGGGCGTTCTGTTAAAGTGCAGAAAGTGGCATTAAATCTTTGTTGAAGTTTGATTTAAGCCCGACTGTGTAACTAACCAGGTGGTTCAAAGGAAGACACAAAGACATGTCATAAGAGAACTGAGCACGTCTTAGACAATGATCCAATATTTGAGTTATAAATATTTCTGTGGTCTTGTTGACATACAAACAAAAAGTCTTTCAGTTGCTGTAAAAAAGAAGCACAATGAAGACAGCATGCTAAAGCTCAAAAAGAATGTGGCGCGTTTGTTTCAAAGAGCTTTAAAAATCCAGTGTTGAAGATTTGATGCTCATATTCAGGATGTGGTGTTTATGTGGATCTGGTTCTGCTGGAGGTTCCTTCATGTTAAAAGAGTTTTTCCTTTCCACTGTCGCCTATGTGCTGCTCAGGATGGGAGAGTTAGAGGAAATGAAAATTCAACCCAATGTGGTGAGTGCCTTAGATAGAAAACTTTTACTAACAGGTATTTTATAATGTATGTGAATGTTTTTTGTAGCGTGTATAATCCTGAACATGCAAGACAAGTTGTGTGAAATATCCTTCTATGTCTGTAACTTGCAGCTAAAATAAACAGAAGTCGTGTTAAGATGTTTAAAATCTGATAAAACATGGAACAAATTGTTCTTCTCAAACCAACGTACTGTCCACGTCTGTGAAAGCAGTATAAAATGTGTACAAATACAACAGATTACTGCATTAAAGCAATCCTAACCTCGACTCCAGTCAACGACAAATGTTTCTGCAGTGAAAAGTCTGAAGCATCTTCTTGTGAATTTAATCAGACAAAGTCCTCAACTCAACAATAAAATCATAACATTTAAACATCATTCATATTTCAGCTTTCAAATATGTTACAAAATAACTTAATACTGTAAACACAACAAAATGGAAAAATATCTATACCAAAGTTCAACAGGTTGGTGCGATTGGACGATTTCCTTAAAAAGGCAGATTTTAGTTCATTTGTTCTATTACAGAGCCTTAAAATATACACAAATACATTAAAATGAAAGAAAACACAAAGATACCAGAAGACTAAAAGTATAAATGCCCAACAAAGTGCAACCTTGATACTTGGGTGCTCATAAAAAAACAAAAGTTTTGTAACAAATCAGGGGTCAAAGGGAATATTTTTACTTTATTTTGTCCTCACTGAACATATTTTAAAAGCTGCATGTCTTTAATTTATAGTTACTGTCCACAACAAAACACTTAAAGTGTTTCTTCTGTTCATTTTATGTAGTTTTCACTCCTCTGATATGGCAAAATGTTTAGCTGAAGAAATATTTTTAAATGAATTAACTGCAACTTAAAAGGATTTTTCTGAGAATACCTCCAGATAAAATGTGCATTTTATTTTTTTACTCTGCTACAGTGTTAGAGAAGTTAATGTTACCGCCAAATACATGTTCATCGTCCTGCTTTACGGTTGTAGGGATGTTTTATTTATTCAATATTAGTTTTTACGTAACTTTTAATAGTTTAATACACTCACATGGTTCGATAATAAAGTTGCATGTTAGGAGAAAGAGTGAAACAGATTTTCTTTTATGCTCAAGCAAGTACACTTATGATAAATGTATTGTTATTTTTATTTTAAATCAATTTATAGATTCTAATATGTGCTTTCATTTTTTAAGTCATAACATTAGAATTTATCATCAGAACATCAGTAAAGCTACATATTAGTCACAGTTTGAAAGCTACAGTTACTCAAATTTGATAAATCTTCACTTTAAATTGGTAGCTACAAATATCATTACTGATATACTGGATTGTTGTACTGTACAGTAAAAAAATGACAGGAGATGAATATAAAGCACCATTTGCATATTGGTCTTGTGATCTGTATGAAATAACCACAAAAGTCAAAATTAGAGAAAGATATTTGGGAAGAAATATAAACAAAAGTTTCATCAAACAAAAAAAAAAACACTTAAAAACGTAACTCCAAAATCCAACAACCTTCTTATATACAAAATGTTTTTATTATATTTTTGTAAAATCACCTCACATTTTCAAAGAGGATTAGAGGGTCTGCACTTCAATTTTCAATATGTCACATACAACTAATAGGGCTTTTGATAGTTTGGGATTAACACTCGTTTTACTTCCAAATATCGTGCGTTAGAAAAATGTTTGTTGCGCGTTTTGAGTTTTGTAAATAAAAACGTTGTAGCTTATGAGCTAAAAGAAAATAGAAGCCAAGCTTGAAGAAATGTGCAGTATTCAGGAAAGCTTGTGTCCGTACCACACAACAAAACTCACGATCGTTACAGGCCAAATAAAATACGAATTAAGTTCAAGTCTGAGGTGAAAACAAAAATAGTAATTACTAATAAAAAATTCCATATCTAATCCATCTATCCTGTTTTTTTTTTATTCTTCTTTCCTGGTTGCGGAGAGCTGGTGCCCATCTCCAGCAGTCACTGTGCAAGAGGCGGGGTGCACACTGGACAGGCCGCAGGTCCATCACAGGGACACACTCTCACCCACACCTAAGGATAATTTAGAGTTACCAATTAACCTAACATGCATGTTTTTGGTCTCTGGGAGGAAACTGGAGTACCCAGAGAACTCCCCACGTGCACACAGGGAGAAATTCCACCCTGAAAGGCCCCAGGCTGCAAAATATTTAAACTCTTTCATATGAAACCAACATCAAAATCAAGGTTCAGGAATGCTCACGCTGTTTAAAAAGAGTTTCTCCATGTCAGTGCAATCTGTGAAGTGAAAGGTGAAGAGTTGGAGCCATTGATATTGTCACCAGCTTGCACATGGCCTGTTCAGAAAAGAGGTCCAGAGCTCCTAAGGCCATTTAGCACTGACTGATTATTTGTGGAATCTATTAAACTTAATAGTGGCCAAAAAAAAAGCTTGAAATATTCCAGCATGTCATGCCTCTTAAAACACTGATATGATGAAGGTTTTCAGTAAGAATGCTTTTGAAAACTAAAATGAATTTGCCTTCAGGTGGTAGATCCTACAGAGTCAGAGTGAAATGTGATGTACCCTGAAGATGATGCTGAGGGGGAGCTTACAAAGCTGTTAGTGCTGCCTTTACTTTCAGCTTTACTGAGATGTTTTTGGTGTTCCCAGTCAGCTCCTGCATTACAGCCCGGACCCCTACCTGTTCTGGATCTACTGCTAGAGTGCCCTGAAGTTTGCTGGCTGCACCCAGGTGAGCCCATGTCGCCCTGCTGTTTCCCTTCTTGCAGGCGTTCTCTGCAGCCTTTTCCAGAGCCACAGGCCCCGTGGCTTGTTTTCCCAGGAGATCTGTCCGGTTTAGGTGAACCCTCGGGCGAGCCGCCCCTGCTGCTGCTCCTTCTGTGTTCTGAGGATCGCCTGAGAGCTTGAGGCTCACACTCAAAGTCTGTGAGTGGAAAGTGAGGAAGCGTGACTGCGTGCTGCTCATACACATTAGGGACGAGGGATATGGTGGATATGCGCCGTGGGCTTTTCCTGGGGCTTGGCACCGGAGTCTCATCTATAAAGTTGATTACTTCATCGCGGCTGAAGCACCGCAGTTCGTCCTCGTAGCGCTCCCCGCCGCATACGACGCGGGGCAGGTGCCTGAGGGAGTGCATGCTATCCTCAGATCGCCGCCGCTTGCGGTGAGGGTGATGGTGATAGTGGCTCTCCTCGTGGTAGGAGACCAGGCTGCTCCTGCGCCTCTCGCGGCGCGGCAAGGTGGAGCTGTAATGGGCACTCACTATCACGTCCTCGATGGAGCCCCATTGCTGCAGGTATGAGGGGATCCGGTCGCTGGTCCACATGTCTGTTTCGTCGTGGGAGTATCTTCTTGTAGGGGGCACCTGGAGGAAAGACACAGAAGAAACCCTTCAGATTACAAAGAACTTTCACATTAGTTTAATCACACAAAAACACTGAGACACTGCATAATAACTATGTGCTGATTAACATGCTCCTGGTAATTAATTTAGCTTAATTACCAGCTGTAAGGATTAATACATGTAGGACTCTTCAGCATCATGTAACAACTCCACTTGAGCTTTAACCATAATTATTAGTTTTTGATGAAAGGTTTTAAAACATTTTGTTGAAATTATGACTAATTTATGAGTGAGGGAAAGTTAGTTGTCTTTATTCAGGGACTTGTTTTGTTTTTGTTTCCCTGATTGAAATACAATCCTACATGTAAGAAATATTAGTTATATTTCCTTTAATTTTAACTGTAATCAAACACTTTGTGTGTTTATTTAACCCCTCAGGACACAAAATATTAAATGTATCTCCATTATCTTAAAATAAAAGCTGTAAATGTTGGTAGTTTCCTATTTGTTATACTCACATCATACTCTGACAACTATGCAAAGACTGAGGATTTGTCAGGGTGAAGTCAACAGCCTCAAGACTGATATCAGCCTGCCCCCTGGTGGTGTCTTTCAGTAAATGCAGAGAACAGCAGACGAATACAGTAGCGTTAAACTGTAAGGTGGGAGAGCTGAGCAGCAGAGGGCAGCACAAGCTTTAGAATGACTGAAAAATGCAGGACAAACTTGGAAATGATGGACAAAGAGAGCCAATAAAGCCAGAAAGGGCTTTATTCTGCATTCAGACACAATTAACAGTTGTAAACAGCTGATTTTTGTTTATTGCTTTCAGGAGCAACAGAAAGAAAGCTGACTGAACCAGAGTTCATTCAGTCCACCTGCAGCTGAAATAAAAACATTTATTTTACATTCACACACAAGAAGTAACACAACTGGATACTACTTCACTACAAAATTAGCCTACTGTAATGTGATCCCAACATGAAGACAATGAATGAACTTGGTCAAATGGAGTGATGGCTACTGTATACATCTCTGCTTGAAAACTTCTTTATTACCGTCAAATTAAATCCTTAAGGATCTCTATATGAGGATGCATTAGTGTTTGACTTCAATGCTTTAAATCTGAGGTGCAAAGCCAATCTAAAATAGTTTATTCTCTAAGTTACATGTATTGTGAGGCTCATGCTACCTTTGTCAAAATGTTTCAAATAGTTTAAACACAAAGATGACACAGTATTACTGTAAGATGATTGGTAAACGTTTCTATTGCATGGTTGGAATAGGCAGGATTTGATATCATTGCAACAGTCTTCTAGGCCAATTCTAGCAAGTTTACTTAAATGTCTACCTAAGTAGATTATTTTTTTAAGTAATATTAATCATATTTTATGAGAATTTGAAGTTTCTAGGATCAGGTCAGTATCAGGATCAAACAGAAATTAGGATTCTGTGAATTGCCCCAGAAGGCTGTGTGACAGTTCAAGCTTTGTTGTAAATGCAGGCTGAAAATGAGCGTTTCACAGCTCTGCATCTGACTGGGATGGATGCTGGATCCAATGGACACAATGCTTTAGGCAGAACATAAGCAGATGTTTTCATTGCTTTCCTGAAGCCTTGAGGAAATCCTGAAATGTAGAAGGTAAGTCAGTTACTACACTTTACCCTCTTACACAATAACAGTCAGTTGCTTGTAGGTCCATGACTAGGACGCTCTACTTGATAAATGAAGCACATTTAATGTGTTGATGGGACTGCCGATGGTCATATTTACCAAATATTAGTCAGCCCGAGAGCATTTTTGATTAAAAAAAGACCAAAAATAAATAAATAAATTATAATAATCTGGGGCAAATCAGAGAGGTGGTATAAAAATGTTTTATAATTTCAGAAAATTCAGTCAAGATGCTGTATAGGCATAAAAAAAAAAAGCCAGTTGATCATGCATATTAGCAAGGAGATAAGTAAATTCAATTGATAAAATAAAATAAATGAGGAAAATCAATAAAAACAATATACCTGCAAATACTGCATTTTATCTTCCTGTTGTTCCCTCAATGGATACCCTTGCAGAACCCCCCCTTCTAAGGTTGAGAACTCATACTTGGCATTACGGTCTATGGTCACGATTTCAGGCGCCGAGCTATAGTCAAATGGTCTGTCATATATTAAGTCAGCATGAATTCCTCCATCTTGGCTGTTTTCTGCAAAGTGCAGAAAAGCACGAGCGTCAGGACTCCATACACAAAACAGACAGACAGACAGACGAATAGATAAGAGAAACAAGTTCAATGCTTCCCTGATTTGTTTACTTTTTCTATACTCAGGACTGAAAAAAAAATAATAATTACCGGTATGTAAATGCTACAAAAATAATCAAGAAACTGGATGTTTAGGAAATTGGGAAGAAAAAAAAAGTTATTATCTTTTTAGAAATTTAGAAACAAATTAGTTGTAGAAGAATCGCAGGGCTTATGTTCTGAATAAATGCTTTAAAAATTTTTTTTTTAACAAATATCCCAATTAATGCATTTATGTTAATTACAGATCAGTTGAAATTGGGCGTAAAATGTTGATTCTGAGGAAAATGTTTGCCAAAATGGATGGAAGATGAAAACAGCTTCTTGCACAGGCAGCTTAGCATGCAAACCAGCAGCTTCAAAACAACAGAAAACCATTCTTATACACACATCTGTGAAGAGTTATACATGGCAAGCGCTCTGGAAAATAAAAGCAGAGAATTGGCAGTGTTAATTTTCACACAGAATTTGAACTGCCTCGTGTTGTTTCACGTCGGACAATAATTAGTTCTGAAGAAGAGTGTCAAAAGAGGGAAAAGATCAAAAGGTTTGGGGAGTTAGAAACAAGAAAGGAGGGGTTCGGATTGGGTTCGGTTTAAACAGTCCCAATGGCAGAAAAAAAGACAGATGATAGCACTGTCATCAGTTTGCAAGAAGTGTAGAGATCAAGGACCCAGTTCACGAGTCTATCTAGTGTATAATTATCATGTGACCTAATTATAGGACCAGATTCTGTTGAAGTGTCTGTGATTCTCTGGTGAAATGATTCTTTTCCAGCCTGTCAGATACACTGTGTTTGTGTTTGTCTGTGGTAAAACACAACTTCATTTATAGCAGTAATAAATAAGTGCTGTTTATTCAGTACGTCTGCTTTTAAAAGGTCTCAATACGATGAGCAGGTGAGTACATTCTGCATAAGGAAAAAATAAAAATACAAATAAACACACAAAGGTTTTTCATTTTGTTTTGTTTTAGTTTTGCATCCAAGACAAACCCTTGCATGCATCATTTTCTGACTTGAGGGAAATATGACCATCATAATGACATGAACATGGTTTTCACCTCTCCAGTTACACTAAAGTCTAACAAATAAACGGGCGACCCTGCGTTTTATTGTCCTCCCACGTCTCACAGCATGTAAAACAAAGCATTTTAGACCGAACACACCATGCACAAAAATCCACATGGTCTATAATTGTTTAAAGATAAATCACACAGACACTAGTTTCTTCAGTTTGATCTCCTGACAGCAAAAGTCACTTGATAGGTCACATGATAACATTTGACCAGTGATTTCAGACCCTCCAAAAGCTAAAGAAAAACGTATAGTGCAAAGAAACCAAACAACACAGAATATGCACAAAACCCCCAAATCATGGAACGTCTCTTAACATGGTGTTAAGCACATTTTACAAGCTCAAAAATGCAATTGTTTATTTATACTAACTTACTGACCATTATCTTTGTGTCTGGCTGAAAGTTAATTTAGAGTTAAAAAAATGTTCATTAAAAACATAGAAATAACTGTTAAGAGCCAACGGTTGTAATTGTATACCATTACTGTGAGGCAATTACATCCATCAATATGTTTTTGTAAATAGTATTGTGAATCTATACTATGTATCAAATGGTTATTCATAAAGTTGAACAAACAAATTGCTATTAGATCATACTCTACATTAAAGATCAAAATTAGACATTTAAATCGAGCATGAGGCTGAAAGTTAAAACCTATTTAAAATCAGAATGCATATCTCTACTCCCTTCTTGCTTGTTTCTTTGCATTTTTAGTCATGTATTACTCTAAAGAAAAAACTTTAGTATCAAAAAGCTATTTTTTTGTTTGTAACCTGTTGAAACCAATGATTTTTGAAGGCTAATGCAGCTTGGACATGCCCTTACAGAGGTTCTTGTTTTAACCTGTTTTTTTAAGTGATTTTATAAAACAAACGGAGAGACCAACAATCAGGATCAGTTCAGCAGGTGGAGACGAGGGGGAAAAGGAGGTGGGACAGAAGGGAGACAGCTCCATTATGACAGTGACTTACCATCATCCACTTCGTCATTAGACATGATGGCGACACATTTCTCCCACACCATGCGGATGTCGGCCCGGTAGCGATCACAAGCCCAGAGGAACATGGGTAGTAAGATGGACTGAGCGATGGAGCACCACAGCACACACAACACCATCCAGTTGTAGGAGCGGTCAAACTTAAGACTGGCGAAACTCACCACCTTCAAAGGGTCAACAAAGTAGTAAAACATAACCAACAGGGAGGACTTGACTTTATAAAGTTCTTTTCAACAACATTTTAATAATTGATAAAAAAAAAAAGGTTAATAAATCACAGGTAAAGCGTCCTTGTCCCATTTAGAGGTGAGCTTTCAGAAATTAATCTGGTCCATTGGAACCAAGAGGTGGAGCAGAACTCTGCTGTGCTGAAGCAGAGTGATGCATTCAGTGTGTGTTGGACGTATCCCTCGTGCCATTTACTATATAGAATTAACTCACGTTAGTGATCCTCTTTGTGGTTAACTATTTTTTAACCAACTACAAAGTTATGTCATCATCAATATTCTCTTGGTAATAAATCTGCTTGTTGTTTAATCCCGCGAGTGGGAGGTCACAACTAATATCATCCGTTCATCAGGCTCTCCACTCCTCTGAAAGAAAAAGTGTCACTGCAGCGAGAGCTGGGCCTGTCACGATAACACATTTTGCTGGGTGATTGTCTCAGAAATTATTGCCATAAACGATAATATTGTTTGAAATTCGACAATAATTAGTAATTAATGACAAATTTAAGAAGAAATGTTTTGTTTTGCATGTAGTACCTTTTGTCGACCACCAGATGGCAATATAAGACCATTTGAACCGAAGGATTGATAGTGAGGGTGTGAGCAACGTGTCTTTTTAAGAAAAATGGGAGGGAGGCCCCTGGACATGACATGGGCTGTCGCTTCTTCCTTTATTCGATTCTCAAAATAGCGGATGCTCTGTGTGGTTTGAGCTCTTTAGCATAGCATTTTTCACACAAAGCTTTTAATAAAACAATCTGTAAACAAGTTCTCAGCTTCTTTTTGCAGAGAAAACAACTTTTTACACAAAGGCACGGGTTTCAACAGTAAATTTTGGAGCTTCGACAAGACGGAGGTTTTTTTTGCTTAGCTTCTCAGCTTAGCTGCTTGTAACGATCCAAAAACACAATTTTGGATTGTTAAAATGGATTTTAAAGACAAAAAAGAAAGGGAGGGGTCAGTGAAGAGCACCAGAGTTGAGCCTTTTGTCATCCAGTGTCTTCAGTAGAAAGAGAGACACGAAGAAACAATAAGGCCGATAAATGAAAATGAGGTCGATAATTTTCATTTATCATGTGATTAATTGATTTACTATTGTCTATTTGTCTACTGCAAAAGGCCTAGATAAAATACAGAATATGTTTGAAGAAGCAAAATAATAGGTACAAATTGTTTTTAATTGTAATCTGTAATTAGAGCATGTAGTAGCAGCCTAACTGCATCTTTTCTATACTGGTTTTACAGAATATCCCAAATTATCATTTTAGAAAGTTTTTTTTTTTTAATCATCAGTTGGTAATTTGCACTTTGCTATATTCAGAGTAGACTGCTTTTAAAATCAATCAAATATGTTAAACCTTATTTAGAGAGCAGTCTCTAAAAGCACCAGGTATTCAGTATATCCTCTCTCAGATAACTTACGTTTAAACATCTTCCCTTGTATGTTAGGCAATTTTCAGATCATAGACTAAGTCCAAATGCACATTTGCATCTCTGCTACCAATATAAAACTAATCAAATCAGTGAGCTTAGCTTTATGACAAATTTGTGTTTAAAACTATGAACTGAGCATCATTTGTTCTTTCTACAACACTTTTTGTATACCGTTTGTTTATATGAGCATACTGTCACAACCAAACTTAACTGCAACACCAAGCAGTTCAATAAAATAGTATGTCTGTTTGTGTTGCAGCTTTCTGTGTATTTAAACAGCTCATTAAGTCAGGTCATAAAAACAGATTGCAGATTTATTTTTCTGTCACTGCTCATGAATCTTGGTCTTTGATTGGAAATGTACTATATCCTCTTTCCTTTCTTTATGGCATGAAAAAAACAATAAGGAGTTTCTGTAAAGTGTTAAAAAATTCTTTCACCATTCGAAACTAATAAAGCAAAACAAAAAAGGCATTTTCCTGAACCACAGGAAGAAGATACACCATTGTTGGCAGTGCATTAAATATGTGTCCCTTCACTTTGAAAAACTATTACTGAGAAATGCATCTTGCAGAAAAGACTCCAAAACTAACATCTTGTGATGATAATCTTGACAATATGAAGAAGAGGTCTTGCTAACATAAAACCAGCATTTAAACTGTCAGCTGTTTGTCTAAGAGAGAAGAAGCAAGTTTTTTACAGCTCAGCTAATGGAGGGTAAAGACTGGGACATAACTCTAAATTTGGGAAATCCAGTGAGAATCCTGACGGAAACATGACTTCAAAACCTTGTTTAAAAAGCTAAAAAAATACTGCAAAATATCCTAATTCTGGGAATAAGGATTTGAGGAATGAATCATATTGCTTATTTAGAAGCCATTATTGGGTATTTGGAAGTAAATGCTACTTATAATGGTTTAGTAATTTCATCATCTCAAATCTTCCCCAAAAGCAGCAAACAGGAACAACTTGCTCTGTGTGCTTTGGTTTCATCATTTAAGAAAGAGATTTTATTAATAAGTTTATATTTAGTTTGCCTGAAGGTGAAAACAGATGGTATGGACAGATAAACACAAAATCCTACGCATGTAAATTGACACTTGCAAACTTTGTTTCACATTCTAGCATTATATTCAGAATAAAAAAGTGAAACCATATATAATACAAACCTTGTTCTCCAAAACATCTATCCCTGTTGCCATCTAAGTGACTTAAACATGACCAGAGGGGTCTTCCTGTAGCAAAACGACAAACTGGTTGAGCTCATTTATGTCAGAGATGTTTAGATTTTAAAAGGCCAATCTGGATAATTTAGCTCCATCTCAAAGGTTTCAACAGACTCATAAGTCTGAGAACTTGGAATAAGAATGTGCAGCCAAATGGTGATGATGTTAAACACCACTCTCTCCTGCACTCAATATTCAAGACTTAATTTATTTTTTCATTACACAAGATTGCATAATGAAAGCAAAGATGTGCTCCCTGAAGTCACTAAGGAAAAATCATTTAGCCACAAATATGACAGATGGTGGGAGACCTGGTATGACAGAATGTGCTTCAGATTCTAAAGCCTGTTTGGATTAAATCAGGTAAGGTAAATACAATTCCGATTTGTCTCCGATAATATTATCTCTGTACTTCATTTATAAATTATTATTTCTTTTTACTTTATATAGACAAACTCCCCAAAATAATGAGGTACATTAAAAAAATGTAACTACTGCTTTGTATATGGGACATCTAGTTCATGACTCACTGGCAGCTTTTGTCTCTGGTTATTAATGATCACTGAATCGAAAATATCAATTTCCCAAACATGGAAAAAGGAATTTGCATTGTTTTTGTTGTTTTCAAATTCTAGCTTTGCTTAAAGTAGAGAGTGAAAAATGTTGTTTTTTGCACTTATAATTTACTTACTATGGAGGACATACAAATACATAAATAAAGACGTTTAGAAAAAGAATTCAATAAAGCAACTAAGTCTATGTCATAAGACATGAAAAGCGCAATTATTATAAATAAATATACATTATAAAGCTACATACTTGGGCACAGTTGACTGAGAAACTGCTGCTTAAGTCCAGCCTGTAGCCTTCAATTCAACCACTCCAGGTAAAACTTCAGAGTCAGAACATTTAAAATATTTTAACTTATCAGCTTTGATACTCTAGGATCATCAGGGTGTTTTGGCAATGAGCTCACCAGAATGGGAAAGCCAGTCAGGAAGTCATAGATGAAGACAATGCCACTGATCAGGTACGTGATCTGCAGCGACGTCTTAAGAGGCTCCGATCCATCGATGGATGATCTGCGCTTCCCCTGAGCGTCCTCCACCACAATGGTGGGAACATTGAACTTGTTTTTGTCAGCCTTGTGGCCTGTCTGAATGGAGAAGGTCTGAAAGAGAGCAATGCCAATGCAGATGACACCCATGGTCACGCTGCCACCGATCAGCAGTAGAAAGCACACACCGAAGCCCAAGCCGATCTCTGTCACAATGAATCTGCAGTCGGAGGTGTAGAAACGGTCAATAGTGTCATGCCAGCCCACTGCTGGGAGTGTGGACAGGATGAAGGACACCATCCAGATGCCCATCACAGTGTGCACTGCCTGCTTCTTGGTGTTACTCAACCTGAAACACAATCACAGATTTTGGATCAAGTCAGGTGAGCTGCAAGTGCTTCAACTATTTTTTTTTTTTTTTATCCTGCCCCTTATTCAAGTTTAAAACATACTAATCCCAACAAGTTAGTAAATTCAACAGTAAGAGAAAAAAAAACAAAGAAGAACACGTATTGCAGTATTTTTCAAATAGCTTAAAGGTGACAAAAGTATAAAGAAACTACAAAAATTCTATTCTGGTTTTTGGTTTTGGTGTGTGCCATGCCAACATTATCAGTAGGCCTCATCTGGCTGCCTGTTAGAACAGTTTGTAAGACAAGAACAAGACGAAGTTATAATGCAAAGTTGTAAATAAATACTGCACTACAAGATGAAAAATCTATAGTAGCTGAAAAAACACCATATATTTAAAAGTCATGGCTTGGCTGAACCAGAGATGAAGGGATGTGGAGGGAAATCAATTCTTTGCTGATGGCTGCCTCGGCCTATTTGTCATCTAGGTCTCTTTCACCGCAAGAGCTTATTTATTTCCTCTTACCTCCAAGTAACTGTTATAGTGACAAATTGTCTCTGTGTGTTTGTGTCTACTGATGATGTGGCACTTTGTTTAGTGACCAACAACAGCACATGCATGTACAATTATAGCAAGTTATGATCAGCGTTGTCATTTCCTGCACTTTCCCAAAGATGTGCTATCATATAAAACATTTTATCTAGCTTTTTATGTAACCAGGCAAATCCCATTGAGACCACAGATCTCTTTTGTAAGGGAGGTCTGGGAATGAAGGCAGCCTAACATGCATGTTTTTTTGGACTGTGGGATGAGACTGAGTACCTGGAGAAATCACACGCAAACAACAGGAGAACATGCAAACTCCACACAGAAAGACCCCAGGTCCAAAGGGATTGGATTAACAGCCTTCTTGCTGTGAGGCAACCATGCTAACCACTGAACCATCATGCTGCAACAATAGCAACTAAGGTCATGATGGGCAATAAAAGCAAAACAAACATGTTTTAAAAATCTACAACAAATTCTAAATAAAGATCAATTAGCTTATGGAGCTTATGTAAACAAATTAGATCTAAGTCTCATTTTTTGGTAAATAGGCCAACAGAGTGATTGCACGTTTCTATATATCTTTAATTCAGGGACTCAGCAAAAGACCTATGATTATAAATCTTGTGTTTTGTGTTGGTATAGATGTTAGAAACCCAAACGTGTTTTAAGAGATGTTTGTAAAAAACCAACATGCATACCCTAAAGGTGATTGTATAGTAGAAGAAAAAATAAACATTTTGCACAAGTGCAACACAAAAACTACTTTTGGAGTTGTTGTAGAAATATGTTACTGTCATGTTGTTTATGAATGTCCTTTATGTAAATGCCTGCTGACAATGCTGCAAACCAATTTCTCTACGGAGACAAATAAAGCTATCTATCTATATCGTATAAGCACCTACAGCAAGTTCTACAAGTTGCACATTTCCACAGTTCCAAATGTTGCTTGACGTTTTTATTTTTTAAATGAACTGTACATAAATGTTCATTGGGTTGAACCGTACAGCTAATTTACAAATCATTTGTTAAATGATATTTTGTAGATTTATACACCTGACAACAATGAGGACTAGAAGAGTGTATGGATAATGAAATAAAACTCTTGGTTGACCAACCTTCTTTACTATTGCAGAAAGATAATACATTAAAGATTTTAGGGATATTCTCTATTCAGTTCAGAATTTACATACAGATCTGGTTATATTTTGTTATATTTAGAAGTAGACAGTCATGTAAACTGATGAAGGTAAAGCCTTTCTCCTACTTTATTGTTGTTAACAAAGGATGCTCTGTGAAATCTCTGGTTAATCTCTGTTGTCCTTGAGTATTTTTAGCAGAATACCCAATCTGCCTCCCTAAAAGATTCAGCAAACATGTTGCCTTTCTTCCTCTTCTCTATAAAGAAGCACCAGGTAAATAAAGATGTGCATTTGTACACTGAATAAGTCAAAGTATCATCAAAGATATTTGTAACTTGTAAAGGATTAGCTTACATGCACTGATGTGATATGAATGGCACAAAGGGGGCAGCAGCCGTCTCTATCTTTGCACTATGGCTCTTTACAAAGACGAGTTGATCCTGTTGTCACAGTGAGTAATACTAGCCTTCCTGAATGTGCCTGGGGTACATGGAGAGGTTACGTCACCAAGCTGCATGAATCTATTACCAGAGAGGGACAGAGAGTGTTGTGAGGGAGATAACTTCTATGAGATAGTGAGCACAGAACGAGGGGAATATATCTAAAATTTAGGGTTTCGATGTGTATTAATGTTCAAGACAAATCAGCTATACAAGCTCAGCCAAATGGATGTGACATAATTTAAAAGAAAGCAGCACCTGAGCCATGCCTTCATCATTTTATTGTTAAAAGTGACTTCAGATAAAAGTCACAGAGTGGAAGGTTAAAGCTTAAGATGAGAGTCCATATAAATAAACAATGGTACAATGTCTGATATCTGTATGGGCATCAGCCTGTAGTGGCACCTGCAGGGTAATAAATATAGCAAGACTGAAAATAGTTTTTAAAGTAGTCCTCATATCTTATTTGAACATCTGCTTATCTGTAAAATTGACCAAGCAGACTGTAGACAGAGAATCTGAAAGGCTGATGCCACAGGCTGTACAATCACTCCCTGTTTGTCAGCAGGGAAGAAAGAGGGAGCCAACATAATGGTGTTCCTCACCACATGCTCCACAACTCTGGTTTCAGCTAAATTTCAGTAGCTGCCGTAATAGCTTGTGTGTAATCTGCAGCTACCAAAGCTGATTTTGTGCTTTCCAGCTGTACTTGTCACTTTATTTAGCAACTCCAGAAATGCATTCAGCTGACGATTTTTCTTTGTCAGAAAGACAAAAACAAAAATTCTAGCAATAAATAACAAATGGAAATAAATACATCTTTGAGGTGTGAGATGTCCTCTGACTGCACAAATAAACCATCATTTTGTGCACTTATTAAACAAAAGCTGCTTTTGGGTAATCATAAGATCGTCATATGAAAACTATGAAAACTGCCTCCTGAATATAAATATAGCATTGAAATCTTATTTTTAAAAAACAGCAATGCTGCACGAAACATCTGATTCTGTGAACAGCAGGTATCCTGAAAATCTAACAAGACCATCATAGTGTTAGTGTGCTAATGCGAGTTCAATCTGAAGGTGTCTTTGGCTGCTGTTGTGCTGATCGGTAAAATGTTGCCATATAAAACATGACTTAAATAAAACAATAAATAAAAAGGTTTTCATTAAAAAAAAAGACCAAATGCAAATACCTAAATAAATACATAAAACAGGTTCATTTTTCAGCAAATCTAATTCTAAACAATACTTCTATGAAAAACAATCTGATGTTACTTTACTGTTAAAAATCTCCAAATTAGGTTGTTTTAAGATGTGTGGCACCTTAAATAAAGGGCTCTGCCTAAATTGGAGTATATATTTTTTCTCTGTTAGTGTCTGGAGATATTCCAAGAACAAACTGCCAATAGTTTTCATAGCAACTATTTTTTTCAGCAGAGAATGCTTCCATTAATAAATGTTCCCAATGAGAACAAGAGTTGTTGAGTTTCTGTAACATGCTATATTTTAATATGTGAGACACAAGCAAAAATCCTTTGCTCTTTGATGTTTTTTTATTTAAGGCCAATTTGGGGGAATTACACAGCAGGCACATCAACAAGGTGCTATTTATATGACAGATCTTGGTGGCAGTCCTCAGACTGAGGAAGTCCTTTGGATGAAAGACAAAACGTTTCTTCCAAGAAGAATCTGTCCAGATGACACGATTTAACTCTTTGTGATTTATTTAAGGCCTAGCATTCCTTGAATGAATACATGTCACCCGCTGCATTTCAGGCTGGAATCCAACAATTTTCAGTCAGGTCATCTGGACAGTTTCTTTTTTTTTTTTTGTGCTGAAACGTTTCACCTTCTATCCGAAAGGCTTCATCAGTCAAGGAAGCACACAACACAAAACTGATTCAGTCTGGAATATTTAACAAAAAACATCTTATTATGAGGCTGTAGCTTTAGCTGTTTTGTTCCAACCTTGTAAATGACATTACGCACAATGTCGTGTATACTAGTGTACAATTTTGTGCTATTTGTTAGCAGATCAGAGTACATGCTGGGAATAATTATCTGCTACCAAACAAATTTAGCTTGACATCAATAAATTTGACTGTTATAGCCATTTTTGTGCTGCTAAGGTCGATTAACTATGGCAACTATCTTTAATTTGGTTTACTTAAAATGGTAATGAGTTTTAGATTTACATCAAATGTTTATTTTCTGAGAGTTTCACTAAAATTTGTCCAGTGGTGCATGAGATATTTTGCTAACGGTACAGAAAAAACATGCAATCACACAGACAAAGGCAACACCATTGTGCCACTTTGCCTTAAATGGCAGGCAACCACCATAACTTCTGGCTTAATATTACAATGTATCAGTTTACTATTTTAATGGAACGATTCATTAAAAATATAATGACTTTCATTAAAACATGATGGGACAAATATAGCATTTTTGTATAATCAAAAACAAATGTCATACCTGTAGTTTACAGGCCAGCGTACCATCCACATGCGGTGATAGGAGAGCGAGGTGACAGAGAAGCAGGTGACCAGCGTTAATGTGTAGAAGGTAGACACAAACACCTTGCACAAACCCTCATTCCATTCATAGTTGGAGTGCTGGCGCCGCAAGGTTATTACACAGTACATGGTGATGGGGATGGCCATGTTGAGAATATGTGTCCCAGCCAGGGTACAGATGAGGAACTCCAGTGGCTTCCACTTTTTCTGCTTGGCACTGACGCTAAGGATGCTCCAGGTATTCGCCAGTATGGACACGCCAGAGCAGACCAGCCAAGCCAACGTGTTGGCATTGATGACATCATCCTTCATGGTGGTTACCTCATCCACCATGTTGTCGTGGGGTGGGGCACAGTCTGGAGTGCCACAAGTAAGCGTTGGTCAGAGCAGGTACACGTAAGGAGAAGGAGGTGGTGGTGATGGGCAGGAGGGGACGCAGGGCGTCGAGCAAGGCAGGCATCCTATCTGGGTTGGCGTGCACACTCCATGGGTTGAATAGAGCAGGGAATGCACGTGGTTTTGGTGCGACACAGTGGGATGTAAGAGGAGAAGGATGGCAGAGGTGAGCCAGTTCTTTTACAGGCGTGAAGCTAGAGAGGGAGAAAGAGAAACAGCTCAGCGTCAGAGGGATGACATCTGTAAATTGAAAATAAAACCTCCTCATGTAAGTCATGAGCTGATTTCCAGTTTCAAGATACGGGTGCTGGTCATAAAATTAGAATATCATAAAAAAAGTTGATTTATTTCAGTAATTTCATTCAAAAAGTGAAACTTGCATATTATATCCATTCATTACACTCAGAATGATATATTTCAAATGTTTATTTCCTTTAATGTTGATGATCATAACTGACAACTAATGAAAACCCCACATTTAATATCTCAGAAAATTAGAATATTGTGAAAAGGTTCAATATTGAAGAGACCTGATGCCACACTCTAATCAGCTAATTAACTCAAAACACTTCAAAGGCCTTTAAACAGTCTCTCAGTCTAGTTCTGTAGGCTACACAATCATGGAGAAGACTGCTGACTTTACAGTTGTCCAAAAGACGACCATTGACACCTTGCACAAGGAGGCAAGACACAAAAGGTCATTGCTAAAGAGGCTGGCTGTTCACAGAGCTCTGTGTCCAAGCACATTAATAGAGAGGCTAAGGGAAGGAAATGATGTGATTGAAAAAAGTGTACAAGCAATAGGGCAAACCACACCCTGGAAAGGATTGTGAAACAAAACCCATTCCGAAATGTGGTGGAGACTCACAAAGAGTAGACTGCAGCTGGAGTCAGTGCTTCAACAACCACCATGCACAGATATGCAAGACAAAGGGTTCAGCTGTCGTATTCCTTGTGTCAAGCCACTCTTGAACAAGGGACAGCGTCAGAAGCATCTCACCTGGGCTAAAGACAAAAAGGAGTGGACTGCTGCTGAGTGGTCCAAAGTTATGTGCTCTGATGAAAGTAAATTTTGCATTTCCTTTGGAAATCAAGGTCCCAGAGTCAGGGAGGAAGAGAGGAGAGGCACAGAATCCATGTTGCTTGAGGTCCAGTGTCAAGTTTCCGCAGTCGGTGATGGTTTGGGGTGCCGTGTCATCTGCTGGTGTTGGTCCACTGTGTTTTCTGAGGTCCAAGGTCAACACAGCCATCTACCAGGAAGTTTTAGATCACTTCATGCTTCCTGATGCTGACTAAATTTATGGACATGCAGGTTTCGTTTTCCAACAGGACTTGGCACCTGCGCACAGTGCCAAAGTTACCAGTACCTGGTTTAAGGACCATGGTATCCCTGTTTTTAATTGGCCAGCAAACTCGCCTGACCTTAACCCCATAGAAATTCTATGGGGTATTTTGAAGAGGAAGATGTGATACACCAGACCCAACAATTCAGAAGAGCTGAAGGCCACTATCAGAGCAACCTGGGCTCTCATAACACCTGAGCAGTGCCACAGACTGATCGACTCCATGCCACGCTGCATTTCTGCAGTACTCCAGGCAAAAGGAGCCCCAACTAAGTATTGAGTGCTGTACATGCTTATACTTTTTACGTTCATACTTTTCAGTTGGCCAACATTTCTAAAAATCTTTTTTTTATTGGTCTTAAGTAATAATTAATTAGTAATAATTTTCTGAGATACTGAATTTGGGGGTTTCATTAGTTGTCAGTTATAATCAACAACATTAAAAGAAAAAAAACATTTGAAAAATATCAGTCTGTGTGTAATGAATGAATATAATAGATAAGTTTCACTTTTTGAATGGAATTACTGAAATAAATCAACTTTTTCATGATATTCTAATTTTATGACCAGCACCTGTATATCAGTTTCTAAAACACCATGTTTTTAAACCGCCATGATTTTTCATTATACCATTCCAGCAGTTTAAATTGTTATTAGTGAGTTGTTACAACAATGCAGATCTCAGGTTGCAGTGCCCCTCCCTCACTTATTGCTATGAGCAGAGAAGAACAATCACCACTGAAATCCCCCCCTAAAGACAGCTGTTTTGAAATTTCACTGGTAGCAAAAAGCACAGCTGGTCATAGCTTAGCTACCAGAGGAGTGCGACCAATCCATCATTCAAAGGTAATTCTGTGGCTAACACAGCTAACTAACTAACATCAGGCTCCCAATACGTCACAGCATAGGAGAACAATCTGACAGGTATTTTTACTTTAGTATTACAATCAAATTTAGCTAGCTACCAATGTTTTTGTTCATGTTTGGATATTACTCTATTATCATTTGTTTAAAAATCAAAATGTTTGTTAAAACGGTCTGCTGGCTCACTGGTGTGTTAGCTCACCTAAAATATTTTTTAAATATGTACATGTTCACTTGTGCTTTCTCAGTCTACATGTGTATATCTGTGAAATAGCATGAATGTAACAATCAATTCATATTATTTAGACTAGTATTAAAGCTACCGGTATATTAATTGTAATAATATGTAATCCAACAATTTTCAGTCAGGTCATCTGGACAGTTTCTTTTCCTTTTTTCCAGCACACACACACACACACACACACACACACACACACACACACACACACACACACACACACAAAAAAAATAATAATAATAATAATAAACTGTCCAAATGACCTGACTGAAAATTGTTGGATTGTATACCTGTATTATTGAGCATGGACTTTTTTGGTTTTGAACCAGTTTGACATGACTGTCGACGAGGAAGAGGGCCGGCTCCAGAGGAAGGGGTGTGCCAAAGACACCATCTTAGCACCAACAGAACTGGTTTGTTCCACTTTGGAGTAAGCTGTTTGGGGGAAGAATCAGTTTTGTGTTGTGTGTTTCCTTAACTGATGAAGTCTTCTGGATGGAAGGTGAAACGTTTCAGAAAAAAAAGAAACTGTCCAGATGACCTGACTGAAAATTGTTGGATTGTATACCTGGATTATTGAGCATGGACTTTTTTGGTTTAATAATATGAAATGTTTTTGAGCATTAGTATTATTAATAGTATTTTAGTTGGTAAATGCTTTGTGTTTTATACTACAATATTATAGAAAATATGGTATTTTTTTAATCAATGTTTCATGTTGGGAGAATGTGCTGGTGTCTTTCTCAGTCCAGTTCTCAGATCCATCATGAGATAATTAATAAGGTTCTGTTAATAACAGGGTTTTAACTCTTACCATTGCCTGTCTAAGTCATTGATTTTACAGTAATCAGGCAGAGGCACCTTTGTCACAAATGTTGCCTGCCTAATGAAAAACAGAGCTACAGTATGTAGAAAACTGAATTAGATAAATGAGACTAAACATTTCTCTAAGACGCAGTTCTATGAGATTTATGATGAAATGCAAATCAGAACAATAAACAACAACAAACTATTTTAAGGGTAATAATTTGAAACATCATTGTTTTACCAATACCAATAAATTAAAAAGCCAAATCATGAGTGAACTTTTCTTTTCTCTTAAAGCCCTCTTATATTTTCATAAAGCTGTTCACCTTTGACGGTGTCACAAACAACATCAAAAACAGTCATTCAGGGTTTGTTTTTTCCATACAAAAAAATCGTTTTGCATTTTGGATGCATACACCTCCGACAATAGATGAGGATCAGGCGTGATGTTTGTCACAATCTGACAAAGGCTTTGTTTTTAATGTAACATACTGTAGCTGCTGAAGGATGTCTCAGCCAATGAGACTAAATGAGAAAATAGCACCAGTGGATGTTGAGCTGGTATAGGAGCAATAGAGGGTTCCTGTTGTTAGTTTTCTACATTTGTCTTGGAATCTAGCTGTTTTTTGTTTTGTTACCTTTTCCTTTTAGTCATCCTATTTGTTAAAAAATAAAAAATAAAAATAAAAAAAATAAAAAAAATAATAAAAAAACTGTAGTATGCTTTTTTTTATAATTGTTTATTGTTGTTGCTGTTGTCCATTGTTGTCATCTTTCTTTGTTGAAATCAGATCTCTCTTGTAAATGAGTCCTCGAGGCTCAATGGGATTTACCTGTATAAATAAAGGTTGATTGATCTGTATCTGCTGTTGAAGATTCTTTTGATCATTATTATTAATATTATTAACAGCCACTTGAAGGTGAAGAGCTCATTTGTTCACACAATCAGCAGTTAATCCATTAACAGAGTAAAACACAAAGTTTATGACGCTTTAACCTTCTTTTTAACTAAACTGATGGTAAGAAAACAAACACTTCGTCTTTAACGTGACAGACGCACGCACTCTTTGAGAAGTTCAAACTAATTAGTAATTCCTATATAACTGGTGGCCTAATGCTATCAAAAGAACACCAAATATCACAGTTTAGGGATCATTTCCAGCACATCACAGCTCACAACAATCATCACCACTAGTTCCCCCACAGTACAGAGTAAAGTGCTTGGCACAGCCGGAGCCTGTTGTCACATCCACTTCCTGTCTTTTGGCTTGTCCAAACACTCGTGTGCTGTAGGCAGGACCCTCGAGAATAAAACACTGAAAAGGACATGAACTGCGTCACCATCACCCTGCTCATACTTGCACTGATCTAATTCTCCCCCTCATTCTTCTCTAAAATGGCACACTAAGTGTCACATAGACCTGTTTAAACGAGTATCTCTTTGGAACAATTTAACCACAAGAAACAGGAGAAGGTCCTGTCAGCACACACAGCCCTGCTGGCTAAAGACAATTTTTTAATAAGAGCAGCCAACTGTGCTACTTCATTCCTCTGCTGTTTTGTCACAGATTTACTCAACATTACAACAGTAACTATAAGGCAAAAACTTCACCTGAGCAAATATTGTACTATAAAGTATCAAGCAACAGAATGCATTTAGTCCTAAAAAAACAGCCTGAAATATA